TGAGCAACAGCACCACCTGCTGCAGAAAATGTGAACTGAAAAACTCAGGCCAAGTAAAATAATGAAAGAAAATCACTTTGGAAATCAAATTTACCGACCGTCAATTCATAGAATATTCAATATAACGGAATATTTATTCACACCTTAGAAACATAAGACGGTTGGGTTATACAACTCTTCTTCACATCCCGTACACGTTTGCATAATCCTTTGATTAATAAAAATAAAATGCAACATGCAGGATCCATTGTGACAATTTTTAAATACACCGTCGTGGCGAGAATGCGGAGTAAATAGTATATTATGTGGTGTAGAAGCAAAAAATTTTTAACATAATTTATTTAAAATATTATCATGCAACTCTTACTTCAGACAGTAGAGGGCCTTAATTTTAGAGCCCTTCTATCCGCCAATTTACAGAAACCGCTTGTATTAAGAGTCGTAGGTCGTAGGAGGTTCAGAGCGAACCCAGGACGGGGCCTCAACCAATAGCAGGGCAGTCCCACACACCATTCACTCGTACCTATGGGCAATTCAGCAACCCCCATTAATCTCAGTGTGTTTTTGGACTGCAGGGGTGGGGAGGAGAACTGGAGCACCCGGTGGAAACACCATGACGGCACAGGGAGAACATACAAACTCACAACAGAGAATCAAACCCTGGTCCCAGAGGTGTGAGGCAACGGTGCTAAACACTGCACCACCCCCCGCCCCTCAGAGTCCTTCCTCATTCCGAGAACCTTTACATTCGGATGCGGGCTGGGACTCATTTAGAGGTGATACCACCTTGTGTTGTGGTTCCTTGTGTTGTTCCTTGTGTTGTTCCTTGTGTTGTCTAGTGCCTTAGCCTGACATATCTAGGTGATGAAGAACAGATGTGAGGGGAAAAGAGGATGTTACTTACCAAAACAGAAGATACTCATTCAATTAAACATGAGATTTTCAACAAGACCCTTCCATCCCCATATAAGAAAACGATAAAAACATACAGAATGAAACAGCTGAACATATTACACTGAGTGAGCTGATCCTTCCAACCCAGGGACATATTATTGTATAGAATAGAATGCTAAATGGAAACAGACGTCTTGAATCAATAAATGTCATATTGGATTTTTGGATTTCTTTTTAAATTTGTATTGGAAGCCAACAAACAGAATTTATCAATGGTAAAACCCAGAAGGACAGCAGGAGCAAACAGAGATATCCCTCATTTTAGAGAATTGACTGAAATATTTCACCGCTTTCAATGATATTCTGGAAATTCTGCTCTTTTTTTAATATAAATTGAGAGGTTTTCAGCTATTGGTTGTTATTAACCAATAGTAGTAACTTCAAAGTAATGAATTTCATTTATACTTACTATTAATGAATAATCTCACCATTATTATTGGGTTTTGTCAAGTGGATAATAACAATGAGCCATTATTGATCCCATGTGGAGAAGCTCTCTGTTTGCCTCCCGCACGGCAGCAGCCTTCACCGGTGTGAGGATTAAGGCTCAGGGACTCACAGACACATGGGTTACAGCTGCACACAGGCCCTGGCTATCGGAATGGCATTCCTCCAGAGCATCCAGCCTCCTGTCTCCTGTCTCACTCTTCAGGCTTCCCAAAGCCATGTACATTGTTGTCCTGATTGAGCCCACCCATCTGGTCTCTGCTCATCCTCTTCCTCTTTCACCTTTACATTTCCATTATGGTAGGCTTCGTTGTACTGATAATATGCCAGAAATAGACTTCAGTTTCATTATATTCTTGTGAACGTTTAGGTTTGATTTGATCCACAACTAACTTGTTTGTTTTTATTGCAGTGCATGATAGCCTTGAATCCCTAACACCTAATTGAAATATAAGCATCATAATGATTTTTTGATTCTTAATTGCACCTCTCCTAAATGCCAGTCTACAATATATTTGACTGCTGGATCCTTTGTAGCTGGCAATTGTACCAAGGTGATAAAAACTATCTATAAACCTTTAGCTTTTACAATCAGAACTAAAGTTAACTGTGGTTCCTGTGATCATCATCTTGGTTCTCTTCACAATCGGTTGTAATAACTCAGTTCTTTAACTCTTCAGCTTGTACATGGCAGTATTTTTCTCTAATCTACACTGAACCATCCATCCATCCGTCCATCCATCCCATCACAGATATTGAATGGTCTTTAGCGTAACATTATTAGCCTGTGATACAAGGGAAATTATCCAATAGTTTGCACACTCTGTCAGGTTTTCCTTCTGTGACAATGGAAAATAAACCATTGTCTCTTCCAGTCTATAGGCCATTGAGCTGTTTTATCGTCTCATAATCAACATTTAACACTGAATCTATACTGTAATACACTATATAATGTCACAGAGGCCAGGGTCTGACCCATTGCTTTCTATAAACGCTCTTCTTTTTCTTGTGGATAGAGATGGGCACAAATACATCAAAAAGTATTTTATTACAAAATACAAATACTTGCTCATGAAATATAATAAAATAAAATACAAAATACTGGTGTGAGAAAATATATTTAATTAAAATACAAATTATTTGTAATTTGAAAATACAAAAGCAACAGTACACATCAAATACATGTACTGGTACAGCCCTAGTGATGTGTAATATTTACAAAATATAACTAGAAACTTTAAATAGAATAATAATTTTGTGAGTTACATATGTTATAGTGTTAACTGTGATATATAAAATGTTTTGTAACATTAGTAACATAAAGAGAGCTAACAGGCTGTACCTGCAGCAGCGAATTGGGGGGGAGGGGGAGATAGAAATTAATTTTGTCCTTAGGCACAAACGTAGCTAATGAAGTCTATCATATATGACAAATGACAAGATGCCACTGGCTGATCCTGCCAGTTTAAATTAACTAGAATGCTGCTAGCAGGCTAGCAAGTTAATTCATATGTTGTAGAGCACCGCACTGCTGTTTGCTAATTGCTCGATTTCTCTGTCCTATAATGACATTCAGTGAGCTTTATCTTAAAGTATATTTTACTGCATTCTTTAGCTTAAGGCAATTTTCACCGAGCACCAAAGCATCTTCTTTCCTTGAATTACTAGTAATTGGAAAACAAAATTCAGAACAAGCTAGCAGGGCCCAACAGGATGTGTCAGTGATTCACCTGCATCTAGCCAAAGCCAGTGGTAGGTTATATTTAAAAGTCTGTAAGCCTGGTGATGAAGGTTCTAAAAATGACAGAAAATGAATAAAATGACATTTTAAATACATGAAATACAATCTCTCAAAGTATTTTGTTACAAATGACACCTGATTGCTGTCCGTCCAGCAAAAAACAAATTGCAAAATACTCAAAAATAATTAAATATGTATTTTAAATACATTTAATTGAAATACTGCCCATAACTGCTTGCTTGATGAAGTTTTAGAGGGTGACGACTGTTGCTTAAGGGTTTGGGGAAAACAGGATAAAACATCACGGGATCCTCTATAGATCTGGGACCAAAATCATGCTGAATAACAATTTTACAACTGGCTCTAAACCCAAAAACACATTCTTTCCATTATTTGCATGTAGATAATATTTTGCATCTTTAAGAAACAGATACAAAGTATGGACAGTTACTTTGCTTGTTAGTACATTGTAACAAAAAAACCTTAATCCTGCATACTAAAATCAGATTAAAAACATAGTGGCATATGCTCGTCTTCTCTGTATTAGTCTGTGTGTCCCTTTTCTTTGCCGAAAATGTTCAGCATGATCTTTCCATTCCTTGGTGAGAAATGGGGCTGAAACAGCTACCTGACCAATAGAAAATATACCCTTTGAATCCACAAGTTTCCACATGATATTGACAACACAAAGTATTCTTGCTATAGTTATGTTGAATTTTATTAGTTTTTCTTTACTAATGTAGAAATGCTTTTCTTCTTTGGATTAATCTTCATAATTGTTCTATAGGATCTCCCGGTGACTGTAGGCGTTCATATTGTGGAGATGACATCTCTACAGACGGTAATTAATAAGGTGTGGCTTAAATATCACCTTCTTTCATCCAACAATCCCGACAAATAGTTCTTACAACACAGCCCACTCTTGCACTGTTATTATCCGCTAAGTAGGGCGTTCTGAAGATGCAGCCCCTCCCAGCTTGCTGGTCCTGCACTCTTCCATTCCCATGTTCATTTTGACAACAAGACCAGTTAATAAGGAATGACGTGTGCCAGTGTGACCTGGAATATGTGGCATTATGAAGAACGTGAGAACAGCAGAACTCAGTGTGAGAGAATGTGTGGGAATGACGTGTCATACAGACAGCCTAAGGACACCTCCCCCTCCGTAAACTGCTACTTTCCCCTGCTGAGTAACAGTGAGGTAATTCGTGGATGTGACTCACAACCATCATAACATCGAGCCCCATCCTGTCATTCATTGTGGATGGTGGCCATGACAACTCAGCCTTTGGTGATTGCTTGCCTGTGATACAGCCATGTTCACCAGTGGAGGACAGGGTGCTGCAGGCTGAGCAGCTTACCATTGCTAACCCTGTATCCATTCTATCTTTAGCATAGGGTCACGTTAGCACGCCACTATAACAGTTACGGTTCAGCAAACGGTCAATGCAGGTGCACAGTACATTAAATTTTAAGGCACAAAGTCTACAAAACAGCGCATTTTCACCAGCTTGATTTCTGGGATATTAAAATTGCTGTGCCAGTGGTCTGTGGCACGTGAGAAGCTGGTAGGCTGGCAGTAAAAGCAACCCAGGGCATCACTACCACCAGGGGAAGCCAGGAGCCTCCACCATTAGACTGTAACTGGCACAGAGAGAGCTGTCCTTTCTCTGATTCTGTCACCAAAACAGGAAGCTCATGTTTCAAGAGTAAAGTGGAGAACAGGTTCTGGTGGAATCAGAGGAATGAGGAGGAATGAAATGAACTTAACAGCATGTAGACGTCACATGGACAGAGATCCTCCCCTTCTGGCCATCAACTGCCCACAAACCCCCACTGAAGCCACACGGAGCCGGTATGACAGGTCAAACAGAAAACAGGTTTATTTTTCAGCACAGGACTTTTTAAACTGTCACAGGATCAAGCTGACCCCAAGGATTCACATTTTATTAACTATTTTTCTTCAGTATGTTACTGAGAATTTCATCATCAGCAGTGTTTTTTTTTTTTTTTACATAATCAGTTTTTCCACAAACAATTTCTATCCATCAAAATTGGACCCAAAACATCGAATCTACAACCAGAAAATCAAGCACACTCTTAAAATACAGAAGCCCACGAGATGTATATGAAGACCGTGCAGACTAGTCTCTCGCTAAGGAACAAACACAAACATGTAAACAGGGAAACAGGAATGTTAATTAAAAGCAGCAATACATTTTGCAACAATCAAATGACCCAGCAAAATGGTGCAGAAGGAATCTGATTACACCCCTAACCCCAAGGTTTGATTTGCAAAACAATGAAAGAAGAACACAACCACCATTAATATAAGGCCACAAAAATGATACAGCTCAACAGATTTGTTGTACTAAGGAGAAGCTGGGTGTCTGTGTGAGTACAGTCAGTGTACAGGCACTGACTGGCGTAATCGCTGGGCCTAGCCTCAGTTAGTGATGGAATGTAACATTACTGGTTGAAATTGCAGTTTTTCCTCTGTCAGTCGGCAATATTTTGTTTGAATAAAAAAAACACATTTACCCTCAAACATCTACTAATGTAACGGTTCTATAACACAGTAAAAAAACATGGAATGTCAGTTCTCTCCATTTTATCTAATAACTTGTCACTCATTTTACTCCATCCCAGCTATTCTGTGAAATACATTCCAAGCCTCTTCTGCCTGACAGGACAGTATTTTCATCTGACTAAAGTCACTCAAGTCTAAAGGAATAACAGACTCACTACTACAGTGGAATCAAGCTTGTGTGCCTCTCTCAATTCTTGTACAGAAATAAATACATCCAATAAATACCCATAAATAAATAATAAACAATAAATCCCAAAAATAAATCCAATAAAAATTTTCACTATACCATAGCAAAAGTAACAAAGGTAAATAAACGCTTATTTCCAGGTTTGACAGATCACTGTTGTGCAGCCCGGCCCCCCCAGGCCAAACAGAGCATCATGCGTGCCTAGGATTGTCCTGGACGGACCCCAGCTCCACCCAAAGCACTCATCCAGCCGGTGTTCACGTCCTGCTGGTGAACGGCAGCGTGAGAAAAGGCAGATTCGGGTGCTTCAGTGCCGCTCAGGCTCTCTCTGCAGCCACATATCTCTCCATTCAAGCTGTGAGACCAGCAGCACATGCAGCCACGGCATGACACAAGGGTCTGGAGCCATGGAAGAGTAGCAGGTTCTGCATAATCGCAGTGCAGGCTTTGGTGAGAAACATAAACCATCAAAGTACGTGTTCTGGCTACTCTGTGTCTGTGGTCAGTGGATACAGGTTCAGCACAGACGAGGGACAGAGATCAGTGCTCGTTAGAGAATGGGTTAGTTTACATGCTTCCAAATTCACGGAAATGATCCATGAAAGTATGAAAAATTTCCACAACACAAAGAAAAACATTTTAAATAATTAAAATGTAAACCAGTAGCTTTACAGGACACCAGAGCTCTTTCTGGCAAATTCGATATATTTTTAGTGTCCCTCTCATCCAGAACAAGACCCATCAATTCATCAGAGCTGATATTGAATATCACTGACTTCTGTACTTTTTTTTCTGAGGTTTCAAGAAGTTTACCACAGCAGAGAACAAGCCGAAATAAAGCACGCAGCCGGCATGTCCACAGGCTGCGTGAATACCTGCCAAGATCAGACCCAAAGCTGAAAACACACATAACACTGCGAGAAATTATTGGTATTAGACAGGGATGCAACACTGAATACAATCACAGGACACATGAAGAATTTGCAGAGCTGCACAAACAGAGCCGTGTGACCTATGAACCCAGCCCTACCCTTCAAAGGTCTCTACTCTCCAGTGACTCCCCGTAGACTTGGGTCTGAAGAGGAAATATATCTGATTGAAAAATAATGAAAAAGCAACAACAGGCATGGCTATAGCCCCCAAATCCATGGCATTTTCCCATTTCCCAATTAATTGGCTCTAATGGTTTTGCGGTCAAAATAATGGATGCGCAAGTATCAGTAGAGTGTCATCATTGGCAGATGAAGCAGGACATGCGGATTGCACATGTGCAAATGCTAAAGCTAACGACAGCGATAATGGAAGCCATGGGTGCGGAGTGACGAACAAACAGTTACACAAGTGTCATCAGGGGAACGTGTGGCCTGACTGAGGCTCTTCCTAGGCCTGCTCCCAGAGGCGCACTCATCAATTACCATCTGCCAGCCCCTCTTATAGTAAGACTGACTCTGAAAGATATCCATTAATATCAAATTATCAATTGCTGCTGACAGTACAATTCAATCAAAAGATCTGTCACTTTGTTTTTATATCTACAGTAGATTTATGCCAGATTCGACACACAGGGAAGCCCAGTACCTGTTCTCTTTTCAAGATAGTCAAAAATAACAGTACTGTAGGAGAGGGAAAGAATGATATTTTAGTGTGAGTGTTGGTAGAGGGGGGGGCATTAAGACCCTCAATCCAAAACCCACCCCAGTGCCCTTAAAAACATAAAGGAAAAAATAAGACGACCTGACAAGTTTAAGTCCCGCCCTCCCCCGTTCCCCAGCCCCTCCCATGGCACAAAGGCCCACCTCACTTTTTGTTCTTGAGCTGGTTGGCCAGCCAGTCCAGGCCCTCATAGAGGCCATCCCCACTGGTGGCACAGGTGGCCTGGATGTACCAGTTGCGGTGGCGCAGGGAGTGCAGGCCCAGCTTGTCTGTGATCTCAGCCGCATTCATAGCATTGGGGAGGTCCTGTTGGGGGGGGGGTTACAGGGGGACAAAGGGGGAGGGGCATTGGTACATGCATAGGAGAAGATGGAGAGATAAAGAAACAAAAAATGAGAACCAGAACAGCCAAGGATTTTCTGTACTCTCAGCCATCTGTTAACTATATTACCAATGAATTTTCACAAACAGCCCCTGCAAGGATGAAATGGCAGGCTTGCTTGATCGAGAATGACTCAGCAAACTTTTAGAGAATGACTCGGCAATCTATTACAGGGGTGGGAACTGGGGCTCTTTCAGTAGCCTGGCGATGCTGCTGAAAAATTACAAACAAAAATGGAAACCTCACCAAATGGGATAAAAGAGCTTGTAGGAGCCTGTTTCCTCTAAAATGCTGGTAATCTGGTGACTCTAAGTGACTCACAATATGATGATGTCAGACTGTAAATACCATTTCATCCATTTTCAAAATCTAAAACCCACTGTTCTCTCTCATTACTGATCTGCCTACAAATATTAAATTGCGTCTTCAGTCTCCCAGCACACTTGGGGGAAAAAATGATCTGCACCATTGTTTCCTCTGGACGGCTCTGGAAATCTGATAAGAGCACATTGAGCTGCCAGCGTGGGCAACGTAGACCCACAGTCACATTCACTTTGCATAGACAAAACAAAGCAAGTAGAGAAATAGTTACGGAAGTTTTTCATGAAATAATGACACCACTGTTGACAGTCTTAATACGCAGACAAATGGCCACGCTCCCAGCTTGTTAACTGCTTATCTTTCTTAATATGTTTTAATGGTTAACAGGCAGAGGGGGGAGCCACTGCAGTTCACGTGCCTGCTTGTTGGCGAAGACGAGGAGCACGGCATCCCGCAGCTCGTCCTCGGCCAGCATCCTCATCAGCTCCTCCCGGGCTTCGTTGACGCGCTCGCGGTCGTTGCTGTCCACCACGAAGATCAGGCCTGCCAAGAGAGCGGCCCGAGGTCAGGGTGCGACCCTGTCACCTTTGGCAAAATGGGATGGACCTTTCATCCTGATTAGGTTGATGTTAAAATGGACAAGAAAGGCCCTAGTACCAGTTTTAAATGAATCCGGGACTGGACTCTATAGCAGGCTTTAGGATATCCTGGCCATAACTGTGAGGGAATGGACTTAAATGACAGACCTACTTAACACGTGCTACTCTGTTAGCAGGTGAAATAGAGACAGCGGAGACTGTCGCAGTTAATTATCTTGCCCATCTCCAACAGTCCTATTTGTGCAAAAATGTGACTACTAAGACAAAATCTCATTCAACACATGGTTTCCAGTTGTGCCTGCGGCTTTAACAAGATGCGGGTGTTTGACTGGCTGGCACAAGCAAGACAATTTAGTCAGAAAAAAACCTAATTTCACTGGAGATACCAGAGTGGCACAAATGGAGTCATTCAGAATAGAGGTTTTAAGCTCTGGAACCAATGTGTGAGTTCCTTAGTGATGCGCTCACTTGTCTGCCTGTATCCTGGAGTGATAGTCACAAACTCCACTTCCTGTGTTTAACAAATACAATCCACAATAAAAGAGCAGCTTTCAGCACACAAATAGGCACTGTTACCGACAGTTTATGAAACTTCACCTACATTTCAGGGCCAAGACCTCTGAAGAAGCAAACACGGACAATAAGCTGGACACTCAGACGAGGCTGGGACTGGGAACCTACAGCATCCTTAAGTGCCCAGGGGTCAGCTCACCCTGCGTGTTCTGGAAATAATGTCTCCAAAGGGGCCGAATCTTGTCCTGGCCGCCCACATCCCACACTGTGAAGCTGATATTCTTGTACTCCACAGTTTCCACATTGAATCCTGGAAGGATGAACACAGCTCAATTATTGGATGTCTACATGACAAGATGCATCTTTGTTTGTGCCATGCACTGGGTTTATGCTTTATACATGTAAAATATACCATTCTAAAACAAGTCAAGTATATGGCACAAGTCAAAATAACAAATTGCATAGTTATGCTGTTTTTTTTTTTTAATAATTTTTGTTTTTTGCATGAGGAAAACCCTATTTAAGACACACAAAATCTGAAATACATCCATATTTCCTGAATGCAACGGACGTGAATTGGGAACCCTCTGAACAGTTTTTCATTATGCTATAACGAGTGTTCCCACTATGCTAACGGGACATAACACAAAGAACAAAGAGGGCATTTATGTAAGTGGCCTTTCTGAAAAATCACACTTACTGGTGTCGCGATAAGCCAGGCCCTGCCCAGGCAGGCTTACTGCATGCAGAGGGAACGCATTCTCGCGGGGCCGTAAGCCCATCACAGAGTGCACAGGCTTGCACAGAGTTACTTATACCTGTGGCCGTTTACACACACTACTTAGCAAGCACTGCTTGCGTTTGGAAACCGTAGCCTGAAGCGGTAATGCCACACTACCCACTGTGCTGGCTCGTGCTCTGTAATTAAACAGCCTAAGATAGCACACGAAAGATTAAAAATAGTTTAACCAGCACAGAGCACAAGTCCCCTAAGCTCCCAGCAAATCTGATCTCCTAAGTTCACGTGCCTGGTCTTATACTGTGTTTTTAGAAAAGGGAAAAACAAGCACATCAGACTGGTATTATTATAGAACAACTTATGACTTGCTTTTTAAACCATATTTTCAGTCAAAAAATGTAAATCACTGTAAATTAAAACTGACATCCATCTATTAACTTAGTCACTTGTTCGAACTGAGGAAATATATCTATGTGAAATATACATGTATGCATGCATGTATGTATCTATGAATGTGTACAGACAATGAGGCAGACGACCATACCGATAGTAGGAATAGTGGTGACAATCTCTCCAAGTTTAAGTTTGTACAGGATGGTGGTTTTCCCTGCTGCGTCCAGCCCCACCATCAGAATACGCATCTCCTTCTTCCCAATCAAGCTTTTCAGCAGGTTCCCAAAAATATTTCCCATGGTGCCGTTGGTTCTGACTTGTCGGCAGCTCCCAGCAAAGACGAGCAGTTCCTAGCAGGGCCGTGCTCGACCAATGAGCATACAATCTGAAGAGAGATGGGAGGCCGGCCTTAACTGCGGAATCAACACATCCACCAGCAGTACTGATAACATTTAATCGGAGTACTCAATCGAAGTCTCACTTCAGTAGTTGAACAGTTGGTTAAAAATGAGTACAGAGGGAACAAATGATTTTTATGAAAGTGTAAGACAGCAGAAAAAAGAAATTATTAAAGGAAGAGTGCCGTTTCTTAATCATGGGTCTGTATGACCCACAGCACAGATGGCAGATCTCATCACAGTCATTTTCTCCTAAATGAGACTCCCTGTAATCGATAACATTCTGCATTCCTGAAAGGGCGGCGAAAGGCTCCTTGCTGGCACAGGGGACACACGGACTCATCGTGTGCCTCATTAACACGGCTCCCCATCCACTTCCAAGCCAACGTTTACCCACAGATTTTCGCAAGTGAACAGTTTGACACCTACAAGCATCAGCAATGGTCCATCCATTCTGGAATTGGTCGTTCTTTCTCACACACAGAGTGGTGAAGCCGCCAATGCTCCCTGCAATCTGTTTAACACGCCCGGTTTGACACACCTCCTGACACAAACACGTGCAGTACAAATGCAGTAAAAACCTCTGAATTTTCACATAGACGGGACACATGATACCAGCTTCTTATAAAAACAGCTTAAACATCTTCCGCTGCACCAATGGACATATTCCAGGTAAAAACTGTACAAATTAAAAATGGATATTTCTCTGAATAAATGGTGGTAACAATTCTACACATATCTTGAATTTGCAGGCTTTGTTTAAAAATATCTGCTTATTTGACAATTTGGGTAATAGTTTAATCTTGCAGTAAATTATCCCCACTTTAGAGATAAACAGATATCTCGGTCAATTATGCTGTGGTTTAATATGTGGATGCATATTATCCACCAAACATGCCTGTTTTTTGTTTCTGCCACAAATGTTTGCTTGCTGTGATTCATAGTTAAATTACAACTACCTTGCAGCAGCTTTAAATGCTTTTCAGAAAAACATTCTACTATTGTTATTCCCAATGGAACAAAAGCATGTGAGACAGCACCTCAACCCAAGACCTCCTGAAACATTACTGGCACAGGAAGACTAGTCAGCTCATCTGACTGAACTGCTGAAGCCAGATGCTGAAAACTGTGCCCAGATTATAAATTAATCTCTCAGAATAAAAGCAAAATTATATTTCCCCATTCCAGGTTTAATATTTCCACCTATCAGGGTTTGCTCGTTTGACAAACTAAGACAAAAACACACACAAGCGTTCAGGTTTTCAAGAGATCCCGCATGTAACACACAAAATGTTATGATGTCCTGTGCCTTTCACTGTCTACTCCAGATTTGATTCCCCAGTCACGACTTTAAAATAACAGGTCGTGATGGTTAACGTGTGAAACCCATTAGTGCTGTCCATGGTACTGACACTTCCTCTGACGCGTCCTTTAAACATTACGAATGACCGTGGATTTGAAAAGGCACAGAAAAAATGATTTTCCTTATTCGTGTAGAAAATCGCAGTAAACTGGGAGCTACGGCCATGAAGCACGGCGCTGTTTTCCAGCTTACTGTGGCCAGTTCCGAGTCGTACTGGCCATCACTCAGCCGGTCCAGCGGCGCTTAACTAACCAGCCCACCCACGGCTTTAGAGGGCGACGCGCCCCATCCAGCCGGTTCGGACAGCAGAAGAGCCGAGGAGGCAGTCGTCGAACTCAGCAGAAACATAGAACGTCCGCCGGCAGTCGGACTACTGGACGGAGGCACTGAGACGAGCCGTATACTGCCGGACAGCAAGACCGCTCCGCCGCCACTTTATTCGCGGAAGCTGTGGTGTGGGTCGTCAGCGCCGTCTGTCTCCTCAGAGAGAGCGCCGGTGACCGGCAGACCGAAGCAGGGACCCCGACCCCCCTCCCCTCCTTCCCAAAGACGGTTAGCTTGCTAACCCGCGGCTATGCTAACCAAAGCACTAAAGCCTCGTTGTTTAACTGCGGAATCTCCGGACCTTTACGCTTCATAACCACTATCACCCGTCAAGTATATCTAAATAATGTCATAATAATCATAATATTTAATCATAGTTATTATCGTTACATTTTGTATTCATTATGACCTGCTCCTTCACTTACCTCCAGCGGCGACACTACTCAATCTCGAGCTTGCGGGGCTCAAAAATCTCGCGATATTTCAGAGTTCCCTGCCTCGGCAGTTGCAGCGTCATCGGCGCAGCTTTCCAAGGCCGTGAGCCTCACGGCGCGAGGTGAGGATCTCGCTCTGCTGGCGTTGTACCTGTGTGTGTTGCGACTCTGAAGACATTAAGCTGAAGGTGTTATTTACGGCCGGCAGCCGTAGGTACACATGAAATGCACGCAATGTCTGTGCCAGACGGACCCTCAAATCAGTTATTCCATTAATTAATAAAGAAATATATAAATAAACTGGAGATAGAGATGCTGCCAACTGGGACAAATCATCCATGATAAGAAACCCACACAGGCGAGTGGGATCTCACTGAAGAATTAAATACAGTAAGGAAATGATTGTTTACCTGTGAAACATGGAAAGGAGAAGGAGAAAAGAAAACAATGGAATATTAATTATGGGTAGTGATTGGTGGAACATGCTACCCATCCCCAGGGGTGTGGTTAAAGATTTTGGACCCCATGAAAGCATATCATATTGGGCCCCCAACCCAGAACAACGATATTATGTTCCAAGTTATTTAGGAATCGTTATTTAGGAATCGTCCTAACTACCCCCCCTCCCTCTTATGGCAACCTTGCCCATCCCTCCTTTCAGCAAGATGGAGTTTGTCCCCCCTCCACCCTGTTCTTTCTCCTATTTCTTTAATGATTCATTTGACTTGGAGTATCAGGCTCTCAGGTAGCCAGGCGTTGACTTTGCTGAGAGTGTCCCTTCCGTTCCTGTGCAGAGCTGACATTTGTTAGAGGAAGACCAATAGATGTCCATAAATTCATTAGATGAAGCAGTAAAGGAATCAGCACTGCAGATGTTTGCAGCGGCAGACCAGATTCTGGGGTGGAGTGTGGATTGTGGGAGCCAATGGGGGTCATGGAGGGGTTCACAGTGGGCTGGGGTGGTAGCTGCAGAACGGGGGAGTTATAATTGAAGGACGCCTGTTTCTCTGAAGCGTTTGCCAGGGGGCAGAGACGTGAGCCCCAGTAACACACAATCACAGGTCCTCTTGGGCCGCGCTGGCAGAAATAATGAGAGCTTGTGGGAGGTGGAGAGCCCTTTGAAGGGCCAGGGAGCTGGCTGCTCGCAGACTGTTCTCCCTCGCTCCGGCTGCCTCTCCGTCCCACATCAGAGCTGCAGTGGCGAGGAATAGGGCAGCATGCAGGATGGGGGAGTGACCCACCAGCATATGTTCCCAGCTGTTTATTTACATTGATTGCATTGCAGCAGCCCCACCCCCCAGCACTGTCACATGCGCTGACGGACACGCACACACACAGATGTTTGCGGCCGCGGTGCGTTAAAGTGCCAGTTTAATTTTGCCTTTACTTATCGGTATGACTCTTCATAAGCGTCTATTTAAACATCTGTCTTTTCTTCTGCGTCCATCCATCTATCTGCCCACATAGCAGATCCTGCCCGTGACGCACGCGCACTCCGCAGGTCAGCAGGACAGCTTTCTCTCTCACACCCGGCCATTTCTGTCCTCCCTCTCATTGGCAACGACGTCTGGTTCCAATTACGCAGACAGCGGCGAACTGGCGTCGCTGTAGGGGAGAGCAAAAGAGAGAAGGAATTAAAAGGAGAGGAGAGGAAGATGAGAGAGAAAGCCTCGGGGCTCGGCTCCCTTGTGTCACACACAAGACCAGGGAAATCTGTGTCCCTGCAATGTTCAGGAATGACAGTGTGAAATAATTAAATGATGAAACCGATGGAAAGATAAAGAAATGGGAACTCAGACACAACACTCCTTTAAATTTAATTCCCTGCCCACTGGTTCTTCAGCCTTTTAAATAAATAATATTCCACAAAGAGGTGATATCAGCCAGGCTTTCCCTTTTCCTCTATACTTAGGATAAAATATTGCATAATAAAGGAACATTCTGGGGAGAAAAAAAGTATGTTTACACGTGCCTTAATAGTTGAAATGTAGTTGCAGCCAATTGGTTAACATGGTTTATTGGCTTATAATAAACATTATAAGACATAGTCAATGTAATCTAAGAACCTTTCAGGCTGGAGAGCCAGTGCACAGTCCAGTAAAGGTCCGCTTGCCCGGAATGTTCTGTACATGAATGTAAAAGCGGCCATGTCAGTCTGAGAGTGATTGGCACACTAAGCTCCCATGGTGCATTGCACCTCCTCTCTTTGAGAGCCACTTAATTAAGATCAGACTTGAAACGCAGTGTCCTCTCAGGACATGCATCCAAATTAAAAAAATTTAAATCATTGATTTCCAGCAGAAGTACCTCATACTCTCACTTTGCCCTAACTGACTGTACTCACACTGCATTTAACCTCAGAATTCTAGCTGGGTGCTTGTCAGATTCTAGCCATTAACAGGTGGAGTATATTGCGTTTTGCTGAAAATGCATGCAAAATGCAGCCTGCATTGGCTTGTAAGAACAGAAGGGTGAATGTAATTTGGCGTGCAAGAGGGCGACGCACAGGTTAGAGAGAATGAACTGGGTTCTGAGTATCAGGAAAAAGCTTCAGGCAATGCATGGTGTACAATCTGCCCAGTCAGAAGACTCTATATATAAATATCTTTTTAATAAACACAAATATCAAAATAATGGGAAAGATTTCTTTCATATTCGATATACATATGAAGTCATGTACTATTAATTATAACTGGAAAAGTAATCAACTAGTGCAAAAATTATTGTTTATAATTTTTTATTCTAATGTGATAGAAAGCTAACATACTTCAAATTAGATTAATGGTGAGCTGCAAATGGGACACAGGCAGGAGGAAGGCTATGGAGATGGCCCCCTGCTCAGGCTGTCATGTGATCGATGGCTGGGG